AAGTCGTTGGAATCGACTTGTATGGCCCTCTTCCTATATCATCCAATGGGAATCGCTGGATTGTCACGGCAGAAACAGCTTCTATACCATCTGGGACTGCCACTGAGATCGCCGATTTCTTTCTTCGCCACATCTTTTTACGTCATGGAGCTCCACGCATTCTCCTCAGTGATCGTGGCAAAGTCTTCCTATCTTCCATTGTCGAGCAAGTTTTGCGTGCCTCGAACACTATTCACAAGACCACTTCTAGCTACCACCCGCAGACCAACGGATTGACTGAACGGTTTCATCGGACCCTATCGGACATGATCGCCATGTACATTCACCCCAACCACACGAACTGGGATGCAATTCTACCCTTCGTGATATTCGCCTATAATACGGCTGCTCAACGCACTACCGGCTTTTCTCCATTTTTTCTCGTCCATGGTCGCTCGCCGAGTTTTGCTCTGGATGTCTCTTTCCTTTCGGCCCCTGCACCCTCGACGGCTCCTTTCTCTGAAGAATTCCTATCTCGTCTCGCACACTGCCGTCACCAGGCCCGTGTTAACACCGGCCTCTCTCAAGACACTCGAAAATCTCGCTACGACTCGTCTCGCCGTGTTGTGAGTTTTTCCCCTGGTGACGAAGTTCTTCTATGGACTCCACTACTCGTCCCCGGCCTATGCGACAAATTCATCAGTCGCTTCATTGGGCCATACACGGTAGTCGAACAGACATCTCCTGTCAATTACCGCGTTTCTCCTCTTAGCGCTAGTCCTGATCATCGTTGCCGAGGAACAGAGATAGTGCATGTATCTCGTTTAAAGCCTTATGCGCGACGCATTTCATAATACTGTCAAGCGACCAGGCGGCCGCTTTCGCCGCGCGGGGGAATTAGTGTGAGCGCGACAAGCGAATGACTCTTTATTCTCTTTGTAATCATCACCACCTGTACATCTTCTTCATCTAAGAATATCATCACCGGCGTGATTGAGCTCGAGCCTGGCCGAATAAACCGGTTCCTCACAGTATGTTTAAATGGGGGCATGTGATGTATACACATGCAAAGCTGCGAAATTCAAAGACCGGGGGGGAAAGGGGGCAACACTTTTGGTTTAACTAGATCGTGTAGCTGGGCTAGTAAGACGTAAGACGGTAAGTTGGGCCAGTTGGTTGGGATCGATTGTGAGCTTGTTTACAGCGCCGTCTTTTCTTTCACTTTTTTTTCTTTCTCCTTTGCTTCTTGCCTGTTCTATGTTTCTGTGGTTGCGCTGTAAACAAGTGCTGGGCTAGTAAGTTAAATTTATACTTGCGCGTTAGAGAAACGTGCACTTTGAAAGCAGAAAAGTAGTACATGTCCTTTCAATGATGTAATTCTGCATGTGCAGAATTGCACTTTTTTTTCTGTTTTGCATATGAGCATAAATGACCAAATGAAAACGATGGATGTTAACTCCCGCTGTGCTGTGAGGAAGGGATGGATAAGGAGCTCAACACTCATTAAACACCCAAGTCAGGGGCTTAGCCAGATATTTTTTGGGGGGGGGGGTAAGGCAAGGGGGGCAGGGGTCATCCATATGTTATGTATGTTTGTTTGGGTACGTGTACATATACACAAGCAAAGATGAGAAATTTCAGGGGGAGTACGAATCCCCTCAACACCCCATGGCTCTGCCACTGACTCGTGTGCCATGTTACAGATAGCACTGGCAAAGTCTACTAATAGGCCTGATTTAAGATAGACATTCCCATTTGCAGAAACGGCACTATTTGTTTATACAGTTGATACATACGTTACTGCAACTGCAATGCGACTCACGAGAACTGTACCTGCTAAGACATATGAACCTCCCTGTCATGCTTGAAAAGTAATCAACATTACAAAACTTAGTTTTTCTCTCTCCTGACCTCGGACTATGAAACTGTGAATCGTTGAATTGTTGTGTAGAGGGATACATGTGTTAGCTGCACGCACAATCAGCTAGAACATACTTTAGCATCTGTGAAGACCCCTAGCTACTTCGCATGGAGTGTGCCAGAATCTGCTGCTTTGCGAGCATTCAGTTTGCATCGCTCACCTAAGTAATTTTTTCTCATTTGTCAGTTTCATGAACACAGACGGTGTTTCTGTTGTCAAAGGAATCGAGGGTTGAGGCAGATGCCATCCTCTGCTTAAGAAGAGCGCTGTGATTGGCTCGCTTTCACACAGCTTTATTTTGCCTTCACAGCTGTTGAAGTAGTAAGCTATATATGAGCTATCGGTTTGACCCAGATGACGGCCACAAAGGTATATAACATACATCCTCAAAGAAATTCAACATGCCGCATGTTTGAAAGCAGTACTGCAGAGCCACCCAAACGGATTGTAAGCAGAGTTAGCTCTGACATACTTTTCTTTAACATTTGCATTTGAAACCTGCTTGTACAAATATATGCACATAGTTGCACATAAATATATATTCATATTCATTTCATGCAGGCAGTGTTGTAGATGATGCAGGTATACAGTCTGCAGCTGTCCTTGCACTCTTTCTGTCTCTGCTCGTATTGCACGGTGTTTTCTTTCATGGAAGTAAAGCCTGCGTACTCGAAGTTCTGTCTCAGTCTAGTTCAAAGATCCTGTCCCTTTCATGGGAGATTCTGAAGATGGGCTTGCTGAAGTCTGCGACAATACTGCAGTAAGTGCATTGCATGCAAGTTACCAAGCTTCAAATACAAATTTGGGATCCAAGCCTGAGACATACTGCTGAAAATAACTTATATGAAAGTTTTAAAAAGTGATATGGAATCTGACATGTAAAAGCCATCAGTTATAATTACATGAAAATTATTTAGGGTTTATAAAAAAGACTGCAAATTTCTGCTTACAATTGGGATACCACAGGAAAAGGTGTATTGAATTAGTGACTTAGGAGCCCATGTACATCCAACTAAGCCAAAGAATGGTGACAGTATATCGTTAGCAAGAATTCTTAATCGCCTAGCGTGTTATGCACTGGCTGTGCGCACCCTCTCTAGTAAATGTGTCCACTTGTTGGCGCATCCAAGAGTACTTTTTGTGCACAACCCAGAAAAGCTTTTTTGAGAGCTTTCTGCATAGCGAGGCAGCCATCCAACAGTGGTCATAACGTGATACATACACAGGACAAATCGGTTTATTTAAGCACAGGATGCATTACCAATGTGCTGCAGTACTACTAACAAGAGATATGGTGAACTCTTTGCGAAGTTGACACCTTGTTCTTATTTTCCCTACTTATGCAAACCAGATTGAGCATATACACTTGAACGGAGCTTGATTCGAAGCAACTTGTGGAGGCATATTTCGACGCTACAAACTTTGTCTGGTGCAAAAACTCCAAATACAATTGTGCACTACAACTAGCCCGGGCTAGTTAAACAAGAAATACCAATTTACAGAATGCGCCATTCAAATGAACGCGAGGTTACACATACATTCAATGATTAATGTGCAAATGGTCCCAAATATCACTCCCGAATCAGTACCGCAAGATGAATATTTCGGAAAGGAACTGGCATTTTTTTTGTTATATATTAGAATGTGTTCCGTCCGAGTAGAAATTTTCACTGCTACATAATGTGGCTATAGTGCGAGTTGTTGTACGAGCCTTTTCATGAGGCTGATCTATGTTGTATGCTGTAATTGCGAAGTCCTGTGCTCTGAAATGTTGGCTTGAAAGATGCTATCATGAGGCCAGCAGGTTAGGAAAATTTTTAATGCACGATGATCGTTTGCGAATTTCAGTTTTAATAACTGCAATATCTCATTTCAATGCACGTGCACATTTCCATGTTTTGCGATCGATGCAACGATCGAAGCTCACGTTGATACATAGAACTCAACTATTCAACGCACATGGATGCGCATCGAAGCTGACTTTGCCGAAGAAACAGCGTCGTCAAGCGGTCGTTGCTGATCAAGGAATAGCCGAGAATGTGTCAAATTCATAATTAATTTATCTTTGCTGCTGGAGAACCACAAGCATTCACTAGGTACAGTGATGAGCTAGCGCAAACACACACATGGCTGCCCGACGGGCAGCTACGTGTGTGTGTGTGCTAGTTCATCACTGTACCAAGTGAACCGAGCCTAGCAGAAGTCGAGCGTCGTGCTGCCGTGCAATTAAGAGGCCGTTTTATTTCCGTTTTAATTAACGGAATGAACCGCGCATTACAGGATTCATTTTAATAAACGGAATGAACCAAGCCTAGCAGAAGTCGAGCGTGGCGCTGCCGTGCAATTAGGAGGCCAATTTAATTAACGGAATGAACCACGCATTACAGAATTCTGCAACGCCAAAAGGAACCTTGAGTGTTGAAGATTCGGCGAGTTGGTTTGTCGTACTTGAACTGGTATAGCGCATTACGGGGAAGAAGAAACGGCCGAGCAGACCGACACAAGAGGACAGAGCGCTCTGTCCTCTTGTGTCGGTCTGCTCGGCCGTTTCTTCTTCCCCGTAATGCGCTATACCAGTTCAAAAGGAACTTTGCCGCCCGACGTTCGCGATGACACTCCGTTTAACCTCTCTGAATGAATCTTTTCGTAATGCAGACAGCCATTTCTTGCATAAACACACGAGTTACACAATCAGCGTATTCGGCACGCTAAAGCCATTGGTTTACTAGCAGACGCACCACAAATATGTCGCACACATGCTACACAACACACTGTGATATATCTATGAATCTACCGTTAGCAATAGCTCTAGAAGGAGTAGTATGCTGCGCCACCACCAGTCAGCAAAGTAAAACTTGACGTTAAACTTGTTAAAACAAAACGGAACCGCACAACAAGTTTTTTTTAAACTTTATATGTTAAGTATGCAACTTGATTTGTTAAAGAAGATGTATGAAATTCATATAGCTAAAGAAAACATTTCAGTTCAAAAAGTGTGAACGTGCGATTATTGCAAATTTTGTCAAATGAAGCAGTGCGTCACTACATATTTTAGGCGCGTCCGAATGGATAGGACGACCGGACACGACCGGCCGTAGGCATACTTGCCTGGTGTCGGGATTACCGTGATCAACGAGGCGGTGTATCCAGTGAGAGGCGCGGGCATTGCACTGAGCTCGTGCTGACTGCTGCCACTACCCCAATCTGGGGCAGATGGGGCATGCAATTTTTTGGTAGTGGGGGACTGCGTTCGCGCTATCCCCCTGCTATGAAATCGAAAATTAGAATTAGAACTGGGTAGTAAGCTCGGTGCTCCAGTGCCGCTAGACTTGAAAGCTGCTGTACAAAGTTCTGGTATTATATTTGATATACACAAATGTGACGTGCCAAAGTCGTCCATGGTGTAGTCTGTGCCGTCTCGAATACGTGGAAAGGTGTATGAGGGGGCGCCATGGAGAAACAAAGTAACTGTTTCGCCAAAAGGGAAACTGTGACAATGTTTTGTGGGCAGTAGGGATAAAGGCTAGCATTTTTAGGAGCATTATTGCACTTGCCAAGTAACCAAGTTTCGTGCGGCGCGGCCACAGTGATGACCACAACAAGGCTCCTGCGTAGTGTCGGCGTTGATGAGAAGCGCTCCCGTTGGCAGCGCATGTGGTAGTCGTGCGTCGCCGCTGGTGGCAGTTATGTGTAGAGCTGAGAAGTGGTAGAAGGGCGGATAACATGAAGATAGGAAGGCTGCAGTCGAAGATGTATTATGCACTGACGTCACGTGGGATGAATGCACATAGTTGAATGTGGCTCCAGAAGTCTAGCTGGGTAGTGATCACAAACGTATCAAGCTAAGTTTTGGAAGAGCAACAAAAGTGGGAAGGATACTTGCAAGATGAGTAACTGCAGGAAAATTTGCGTTCAGAAAGGCAAATAGAAATATCTACTAAACAAATTGAGAAAGTAATCGCTGAGGATAATAAAACAGCGCGGACATACACGAATCTAATTAGACGGTTTGAGTTAGAGCTTGCTAAGGCACGTGACAAGTCACACCGGAAAAGAAGACACAAACCCAAAAGTTGGTGAAATGAGGAAGTTAAGAGAGCCATAGCGAAACGTCAGGAAGCCTCTAGGGAACACAGACATGCTAAGCAGCGGGGTGAACTGACAGATGATGTTGAAAGGAAATGGGAAACCTTTCTAAGCTGTACAAGGGATGCATCCCTTCTGATCAATGCGAAGATTAGAAGAGAGGAAGCTCCATGGCTGGCAGAAGTACATAAAAAAGATAGAAAGGCAGCTGCGAAATTTTGGAACCATCTAAACTCCCTAAGAAATGAGACTAGCCTAGAGCAGAGGTATAGAACTACAGCTCAAGGTGCTAGGCTAGAAGGGGACGAAGCTATTGAATATATAAGAACAAGGGCGACAGAAAAATTTTAACAAAGAAGTGCTTTATGCACCACAATAGACAAGGACGAATCAAGTGGGGCAATTGCTCCATTTTCACAACGAGAGTGAGAAAGGGCTGAGAAAAGGGTTCCGTGTAGTACATCAACAGGCCCATATGGCATTCCAGTTATGCTGATAAAGACATTAGGTCCGAAGTCTAAGCAGGCTTTTGGGAGAGGCAGTGAACAAAATAATAATCGATGGAGAAGTTCCCGATGGATGGAAACTTAGCAGGGTGAGCATTATCTATAAAGAAAAGGGGGGCAAACCTGACATAAACAACTACCGTCCTATAACAGTGACATCAGTGGTCTACAGGTTGGCGATGCAGATTATAAAGGAAAGACTGCAGGCATGGATAGAGGATGAGGGGGTGCTGGGGGAACTACAGAATGGGTTTCAGAAACACAGGAGGTTGGAAGACAATCCGTTCTCACTGACGCAGTGCATCGAAATAACAGAAAAGGAACACAGGCCCCTGTGGCTAGCGTTTTTGGATATCAAGGGAGCGTACAATAGCGTGGTTCAAGAGGAATCGCGGGGAATACTGGACACACTAGGTGTGGAAGATGTAGTCACTAATCTTTTAAAGGATATCTATAAAGGTAACAAGGTAATTATAACGTGGGAAAAACAGGTATCCAAGCCTGCAGAGGCAAAACGGAGGCTTAGGCAGGGTGTCCCCTGTCACCCTTACTATTCATGATGTACCTACAAGGATTCGAGGCCAAATTAGATGGAAGTTGACTGAAATTCAACCTCTCTTTCCTCAAACAAGGAAAACTTATTGAACAGGCACTACCAGCATTGATGTACGCAGATGATATAGTGCAAATGGCCGACAACAATGAAGATTTGCAGAGATTGGTGGACATCTGCGGTAATGAGGGAGATAGGTTAGATTTCAGATTCAATAAGGAAAAATTAGCAGTCATGATTTTTAATGACAATGAAGGTAGTGAGCTTAGAATACAGGAGGTCACGCCAGAGATAACAGATAAATACAAATATCTGGGCGTATGGATATGCAATGGGGTCGAGTACCTAAGGGAACACGAAACATACGTGACGACTAAAGGTAACAGGAATGCAGCGGTAATGAAAAACAGGGCACTGTGGAATTACAATAGGTATGATGTTGTGAGAGGCACTATGGAAAGGGGTCATGGTTCCTGGTCTGACGTTCGACAAAGCGGTCTTGTGCATGAGATCAGAAGTTCAAACTAGGCTAGAAATTAGGCAACATGGAATAGGTAGGCTTGCTTTAGGAGCTCACGGGAATACACCAAGCCAGGGAGTACAAGGTGATATGGGATGGACATCATTTGAGGGCAGGGAAGCTAGCAGCAAGAAAAAATTTGAGAAGCGATTGAGAGAAATGGGGGAGGAGGGTTGGGCTAGGAAGGTTTTCAGCTACTTGTACATGAAGAATATCGATACAAAATGGAGGAAGCGAACCAGGAAATTGACTGGTAAATACTTAGAAAACAGTAGGTGGCCAAACCAAAAAGAACTATCAGTTAAGAAGAAAGTGAAGGAAACGAAGGCTGACATGTAGAGAATTGGCATGACTAAGAAGCCCACACTAGAGATCTATCAAACTTTTAAACAGGAAATTGCCAAGGAAAGGATCTATGATAACACTCGTGATAGTTCTCTACTCTTTGAGGCCAGGACGGGAGCGTTGCGAACCAAGACATATCAGGCAAAATACGAAGCGGTAGACACAGTATGCAGTGCGTGTGGAGAGGAAGAAGAAACTGCCGAACACTTGATAATGTTCTGTGAAGGGTTTCACCCTATAGTTCAGGATGATAGGGCACAGTTTTTCAAAGCACTGGGGTTTAGGGACAGGGAGGGCAAAATAGACTTTAAGCGGGTAGACTTAACTAGAAGGAGGTTATCTGATTGATGGCTAAAGTCAAGGCACGAGTGAAAATAAACCCTTCACTGCAAAGTACGAATCCTCAACCTCACTATTTAAAGAAAAAAAAAGATAAGTCTAATGGTCAATTCACTAAGTATTACGGCTAGGGGGCGTTAGCCGCCGCCCCATCTAAAGGGTACAGCCCCATCCATCCATCCATCCATCCATTCATCCATCCATCCGTCCATCCGTCCATCCGTCCATCCGTCCATCCGTCCATTCGTCCGTCCGTCCGTCCGTCCGTCCGTCCGTCCGTCCGTCCATCCATCCATCCATCCATCCATCCATCCATCCATCCATCCATCCATCCATCCATCCATCCTCCATCCATCCATCCATCCATCCATCCATCCATCCATCCATCCATCCATCCATCCATCCATCTATCCATCCAGCTCCGTGCAACGCGCTTTTCCACTCACCACGCGTTGAAATAGAAGTTGCTTAATCATTGAAGATGCAGGGTGATTCCACGAGAGATCGACACGGGTCCAAAAGTTGATATTTTAGATGTCATTGAGTATTTATTATTTCGTGTACCTCTCACCAGGTAGCCCGAAAGTCAACTTCGTTTTATGATAAACGACATAACTTACGAGAGAAAAAATATCAAACTTCACCAACACGGAGGCACCAATTTCGTCACCTGTCATTTTCTAAAATTGCAGATGCTATAAAAAGACAAATATTTTTGTTTCAAGGAACACATTTTTTACCTGAAATGTATGTCTAATGAAGAATGAATTCATACGGTTCAAGATTGTAGACCTTAGGAAAATACCTTTTAAAAATGTCTAAGTTTCCGACAGTTTAAAATAAGTTACGTATTCCCCCCCCCCCCTTTTTTTTTCTCCGGAAGTAATGCAAGCAGCGTTTTCAAGCTTGACACGTTTTAGGATATTGTGTGTTCATTGGGTACATAAATTATTGCTGCCGTAGGGCAAATGTAAATTTTTATATATTGCCTTTTCAAAGTTCTCATATTGGCAAAAGTGTACTCCACTAAAATTTGAATAATAAAAAAAACCATTCTTCGATTTTTCTTAAACTCTCGTAAATAGACAACCGAAGGCCATCATACAGCAATATAGAAAAACTTGTTGCATTATTTTGTTTTTAGCGACAATATTCGTGGTACAAATAAGAGTTTTTCGAGAATGCACTGATAAGTTGAGAAATCTAGAAATCAGAACGGAAAAGCGGCAATAAGCTTCAAACGCGAGTAAACGTGACCGCATTTGGTGGAGAAAGGCTGTTTTAGCAGATAGGAGTAACTATTTTGAACACGATATTCCACAGTATCTGAATTCACTCTTATACGTAGAGCACTGAGACTTCTAATATGTGGTGCCTCTCCATTACTGACACACAGATGGAGCTGCTGTGACGGCCATGTGTTTGCAACACGTTGGTTCAGAGAATTGAATGTTGAATAAATTCATAAACGATTCATAACAAATTTGTTTCATTTGGGGCACGAAGACTGCCCCAAATGAAACATTTTCATAACAAAATGTTTCATTTGGGGCACGAAGGTGAGAGACATAGGAACAGACGACAGATTTATCACTTTCGTGCTGCTGGTTTCACGCATAGTTGCATTGCCCGTAATTTGAGCCTCAAGGAGCATGGCTATGGCTGACCACTTCAGCCGGGATAGAGTTCTTTGTTCAGATTACCTCATGTTGCATAAAAATAAAATACCTTATCAAAGAAACTTTCGCAAGGTCAAAGACATCGGCCTGCTTGCTCTCCAGAAGCTTTTGCCGAAAGCTTCCCGCCATGCACATAACAACGACCACGTCTGCCAGATCTGCTTAAGACGCCTTAGAGATATACTGTCTTCGTCTAATGGCTTCTCAGCTGAAACAGCTGATGAGTTTTTGCCGGAA